AATAGGCCGTTCAGTCATCAAGAAAATTACAATCTATACTCCTTGCTAGATATACATTTTGCAACTTCATACTACTGATCACAAGAACATCAGAGCACCAGAGTTATAGAACTGACGAGTTGGGAGGGATCACAGTGGCCATAACACCAACTACCTCCAGTGCATGAATCCCCTGGACACTCCTCCTCACAACCTGCTATGCAGCCTCAACTTCCACATTCTTTCCTGCTAGACTATAAGCCCCATGGGGACAGAAACTGTCTTGTTCACCATTGTACGCCCTGTATCATATATTGTGGTCAATAAATATTTTTGAATAAGTAAGTGAATGTCCTTGTGGGAGAATCATACCACTTATACCGCCATCTTTGTAGAAGAGCTCTAAACCATAGAGAAGTCTGTACAAACTGCATGGAAGGTCACCTGTGGTGCTTTCTGAGAAAGTCTGCCTCCTCTTCCATATATGAGCCTTGCAGGCAGCTTCCAAAGCCAAACTTTCCAATTTCATTCCACAATTTGCCACAAGTTTCCAAACTTTCTACTGTCCCCTATATGAGCTACATCTGCTCAATTCTTTTTCTAAAAAATGTGGTACACAGAATGAAATATAATTATTTCCCATTGTTGGATAGCCAGTCCAGAGTATAAAGTTCTCCGTGACTAAATCTATGCAAATCCTTCAACCTTTGGGAAAACTACATCAAATGGCAAGATGTTGCTGATGAGGACTTTTTCAAGAACACCGGTAGGTGAAATTGTGTTCTCTTTCCAGAAGGATTAATTCATCAATATAAGAATACCTCAAGGTCCCTAGGTGGTGCAAACAGTTCCTGCTTGATTCCTACCCTAAAGGTTGGTGGTTTAAACCCACCCAGCAGCACCACAGAAGAAAGGCCTGGCAATCTGCTTTCATAAAGATCACAGCCAAGAAAACCCTATGGAACAGTTCTACTCTGTAACACATGGGGTCTCCATGAGTCAGAATCTTCTCAACAGCAAAGAGAGACTGATTCATTATATTATGCAGGCAGTTGGACCCATAGCAAAAGATTTCTGAGAGTTTTCTTAATGAAAGTTAAGTAAGGATTCATTAAACCCAGGAAGTTCTAAGTCTTCAGTTTGCATAGTGAATTGGAACTGCGATAGCCTGAATGTGAATGGAGATGTGGTAATTCAGTAACATGAAATAGGAAAGGCAGTTTAATTACTCCAGAGATTTTTTCTTTTTCTTTTTTGCACATAAATTTCTTATACTTTTATGACAACGTTGGATCACAAACCCATTCACTTTAACGTAGGGTAATGAGGCCTTTAAAGCAAGTCATAAAAATGCTTTGTTTGCAATACTGTTTTTAGAAAAGCCAATCTTATGGAAAATCTTTCTCTTTGTTAAAAGCAATTAGCATTCTCCCAGAATCCTAGAAATGAAAGGATTCCCATGCACTTAGGAAATAATATCCTTTCTACCTTAGTTAATGAACTAAAGGACTTGGGGGCAGGAGGGAAAAGTATTTCTCAAGTTACATCAAATCAAAAGATCTGGAACATCTACTTCTTTACTGGAACTATAAAACAGAATTTAACCTAGAAGTCTCCAAAATGTAAATCTGAGAAGAGATATTGCTTTAAAGTTTACAGTATAGAAAGTGTCAAAGTGCTTCTTCAAATATGATAATTTCCATAGTTATTGCTCTCTCTCCTTCTCTTCAGAGTTTATCTTGTACCATTCACCTCCAAGTTCACACACTGTTTTTTTTATAGAAAGATCCTGCTGCTAATATAGTAGAGGCAATCTGGGACAATGGACCAATAACAATTCCAAATAAAAACATTTTTTATGAAATTATATTTCCATTATTTAAAAAAAATCTAAGGAATAAAAATTCCATCTCCAAAAACAAAAGGGTGAATTTTTTTTTAAATTAATAGTGAATGCAAATGAAAGGAAAAATGATAACTCATTTTTGATCCATTAGAGTGACAGGAACTTAAAAAGGCTAATGAGGATAAGGCACTCTTAGACATTTGTGTATTAGTTCATTGAAAATTAGTTCATTTGAGTATAAGGTGCTACAAATTGATAAAATAATCAAGAAATATGTATTAAAATTTAAAATATGCCTTTTTTTAGCTAGTAATACTACTTTGGGAACATGATCTTGTGATTTGAAAAACAAATGTATTAAGATAACTGTATGGAAGTGTTTACTACAGCACTGTTTGAAGTAGTAAAAAACTAGAAAATATCATATTATTCAACCGTAAAAAAAGTATGAATTAGATGTTGATGTTAATATTGGAGACATGCCCTTGAATTAACAATAAAAAGTTACGGAGTAATGTACAAAATATAATCCCTTTTTTTAAACTAATTAACAACAGAAAGACCATACATGTGTATTTGTATATTTGCATGAATATGGAGTTTTTAATATTGATTACCTCAATGTAGTAGCAGCACTAAGATGTGACTTGATAGGGGGCTTTAGATCTCCATAATTTACATTAGTTCCCTCAAAAGCCATTCCACACAAATATAAAAAGAGGTTTAAAAATAAAAAAATATGAGGTTGTTATTTCCACACAGCTCCAAGAAAGCACCCTAGCCTCCCCACCAACCGCACACCACCTATCCAATAAGGTCATCATCCCTAAATATTTCCACATAGAAATTCTGACATTACCATTGCTTCAGGGAAGTGAAATGAAAAGAAGATTGCTTTTTCTTATACACTTTTTTTTTTTTTTTTTTTTTGCTTTTTAAAATTATCATGTAATGGTTTTGGAATTTCAAATGAAATTCTGAAATTAAAAAAAAGTTGTAATGAAACTATTTAGAAATTTATCTTTTTTTTTTTTTTTTGAGGAAGGAAAGTAGTTGTCATATTTAAAAACAATGGAAATGTTCTTTTTCATCAGTTTGTTCAGTCCATGTTCCTTCATTTTCCCATTCAATGTATTATGAAATTTTTCTGTCTCAGACCACTGAAAGTTTACAGTATAGAAAGTGTCAAAGTGCTTCTTCAAATATGATAATTTCCACAGTTATTGCTCTCTCTCCTTCTCTTCAGAGTTTATCTTGTGCCATTCACCTCCAAGTTCACACGCTGTTTTTTTAATAGAAAGATCCTGCTGCTAATATAGTAATGAACAGAATCATTTTTTAAGGATTCATTTTCCAGGAGTTATGTTGCATTTGCACAACATAAACCATGACCCTTTCTCCTTATAACCAAAAATGTCCAACCACCATTGAAAACAAGTTTTCTCTATGGAAAGGTAACTTAGCTAACTCAAGCTTCAACTCCCACAAATGCAAAAAAATTAAAAAGTTTATGCATACATAATACCTTGTACATACTTCCATTATTTCAATTATCGTATATACTGTCATATGTGTTGAGGTGACTGTGTCTGCCTAAGTTTAAGCTTCAAGAAGGCAGGCACCATTCTTTTTTCTTATTCCTAGTGTCTAGTAGAGAGCTTGACATATTAGGTGCTAATAAATGTTAGATGAATGAACATTTAATGAATGCCTATTTAATCAAGGACTAGAAAGTTATTTAACTTCCCAACTCCTAGTTTACCTCTTGTGTAAAATAAAAATAATGGCAATGCTCTGTGTACTAACCTCAGAGATGATATATGAGAATCAGATGAGATAAGTGAAGTGAAATAATTTATATACTACAAAGTACTATGGAAATGGGGACATCACTGCGAAAATGATTGAAATAACCCAGCTCTGAAATGAAGGGTCTCTGAAAAGAATACTCACAAAAAGATCCATAAATCCACTGCTGTGTATATCCATAGTCTCGGAAACATACATTTGAGAGCTCTCATACTTAATTACACATGTTTAAAAAAAAAATAGAGGTTGGTGAATTCACTTTAAATCTGGATTGGCTGTATTTGGATTTTCTCTTATTCCTACAATTTGCTTTTGTACCATTGTAATATTTGGGAGACAGCTTTAGTGGACTTTAAGGTTTCAAAAGCTTCAAAACCAAATACTTTAATAGTATGTATGTAAATAATAAATAATATAAGATATATCATGTATTATATAAAAATACATAACATATCATGTGTTTGCTTAGGAGGTAGTTTTTCCAACTCTGTTGGTGACTTCCAGTTTCTGAAAAATTTCTGAGAAGAGATTACTTGTCATAGACAGTAGGAGAAGTTATGAGGTGTGTGTTAAGGCCACTGAATGGGGCATTGGCTGGGTCACTAACTCACCTAGCTGTGAACTTGGACCACATCCTTGGTTTCTCTTTGCTTTAGTTTACTCTTCTTTCTAAACTCAAAGGAGGTTTAGAAATTATCGTCTCTAAGATTACCTCCTTCTTTAACATTTTAAGATTTTATAGTTTAATTTTATCATCTTCCCCTTATAATAATCCTGCCTTCTCAGGTTGTCAAGACTAGTTCATATAAGCCATCTTAAGGAACACTCACATGATGCATTCACAACCACAAAATAGATGGTTATTAATAGCAATAAATCCATTGTCTAGATTAATCAAATTAATCCAATCTTTGCCAAGCTTTTACCTGACTTTGTTCAAATACCAAAAAGTCCTGGAGATCTCTCTCTTTCTACACACACACACACACACACACACACTTTCATCACATATATGGTTCTTCCCAGCATTAACTTTCCTCTTCTATCTGACATGCGAAATCTTTCCAGGTATGTTCTTTTACTGTATATTTAGGAATAAGATTCTTTCTTTACTAGGAGTATCTGCGGGGAAACGAGACCTCTGTTTACAGCATTCACTGTTTGGGCAAAGGGTCTCGCACCACCTGCTGCTTCGACAATCCAAAACTCTGTTCTGGCTAGCTTTGCTGGGAGGAAAGGAGAAAACAAGAAGGGAGGGAAGGAAGGCTGGTGCGAGCAAGAGGCGGGGAGTGAGGAATGGGAGGCAGGAGGAGGCGTGGCCCGGCTTGGGGCCGTTAGGATAAATCCTGAGAACCGGGTGCGGAGTGTGGAGAGAGAACTCCGGAGGAACGCCTGAGCTGAGCAGCACCAAGGACAGCGCCCAGCAGCCCCGGCGCCCAAGTCTTCCTTGACAGCCCAGCCTCACACACACGCTCAAGTTCTCGCTCTCTCCACACTCGCACGGACACACTTGCACACGCAGACACATACCCCGCTGTACAATGGCAGAATCCCACCTGCAATCACCCCTGATCTCTGCCTCACAGTTTTTCGAGATCTGGCTTCATTTCGACGCTGACGGTGATTATCTTCTCTTTTTAACTGTTTCAAGATCCTTTTCCTACCCTTTCCCCTATCCTGATCCCTTTACCCGCCACCCATCTTTTTTTTTTTTTTTCTTCGTTTCTTCCTCCCTGCTCCCAATCTTATCTCCAGGCTATTCGCCAAACCATCAACCTGAAAGTTTATATTGCCTCTGTGAAATCCCAAAACCTTTAACTTTTGTCTCTAGAAATGGTAAAGGTAAATGCGGGACAAGAGGGAGAGCAAGAGTCGGGATTGGGAGGCTCTGCACCCCAGAGTTTCCTTGGCTGCGTTCAGAACCCCAACATCCTCCTTTGCCCTCAGTGGATCTAAAGTTCGCCACCTTGGCAGGGGAGAGTTGCTGCGTCTGTACCTTTCACGAATATCTGGGCAAGAGAGGGCCTCTCGAGTCGCCAGGAAAATAGTTGTCCTGGAAAGCAAACAGGGAAGAAACTCGGGATGAGATGTTTGACACCTGGGTGCATCTTTGTCTTTGCAGGAAGTGGTTACCTGGAAGGAAAGGAACTGCAGAACTTGATCCAGGAGCTCCAGCAGGCGCGGAAGAAGGCTGGATTGGTAGGTTAGAGTTTGAGAAAAAGGAAAAAGACCTTCGGTCATAAAATAATAAGCATTCTTCCGTTTTCATAAAGAGCCAGTGGAGTCAAGTGGTTCTTGGGGAATGTAAACTTTTATTGACTGAGATAGGTGAGGAAGAGCGTCCTTCTAAATTGGTAGGGGAAAAAGAGGGAGGGAAAGATGGAGGAGAGAGAGATTTCCTAAGGGGAAATACCTTACAGCCTGAAACTGGAGCTTTTAAAATATGTGTTCTATAGTTGTATGTTCTCAAATAGACCTTAAAAGGAAACTGTGGGTGTGTGAGATCCTTTAGCAGATCATCACCTCTACCATTGAGTTTGTTAGATAATTTTTAACTTCTCTTCTACTGTGTGAGAAGTGAGGGGGTAGAAATACATTTCTGCCCCTTAGTGGTCAGGGAACAGATCTGCAGATTATGGAATCTATTCTCTTGTCAATTATTACTGCTGTGATGTTGATGAAATGAGTAAATGTCTTGTCTTGACCCTTCTCACTGGGGATAAGTCAGTTGACTTGCAACATAATAATGAACAAGAATTTAGCAAGAAAACGTCTTCATTTCTGTTGAAGGGGAGACACCCAAAAGTTAGAGATATAAAAAGTAAAATTTTTTAATTTCATATATTTTTAAAAAGCAAAGTGGTACTCTGATGGGAAGCAATATAAGCTGTATTTGTGATTACACCATTGGTTAATTAAGCAAATGACTATTCTTATTAATTATGAATGGCTTCCTTTGGGTATAAATTTACATGTTAAGAAAAGATGTTGTCAGCATAAAAATAAAATATGATCAACTTTAAACATAGGTTAAAATGTTGTATAGAGAAAAATAGGTTAAGAATTTCACTAATCTATTGGTGTTTATGTAAGACTATCTTTCAGAAGGCAATGTTGGATTTGGGCTGATTAAGTGTTAATGGCCTTCAGCTTTCTGACTATGGTTAGAGATTTTACATTACCGAAGAGGAGTGAAAATGTATATATATATGTATATATATATATGTATATATATAAAGGAAAATGTGTGTGCATGAGATCTTTTAATAGAGCATCAACTTTAGCGTTGAGTTACATATATATAACTTTGTTATACCTAGATTGAAAATTGGGTAATACACGTCTCTGTACAACATATTCAAAGGAATCCCAAAGGGCTCTAAATGTATTACAATGCATTACTAAACTATCAGTTGCTTAAATTATTGACCAAATTGATTTAAAACTGAATAGTTCCCTAGGGATTACTTTATCCAGATTTAATAGTATACGCTGTAAATCTAAATATACAGTCCAATAGGATCAAGTAAAACAGAAAATGTTTATATTCTATTTCTTACTCTCTCCACACCCTTCTCCCACTATACATAGTACCATGTAAATAAATTCATGCAATACTATCATTATACTTCATTGTTTCTTTGGCTAATAATAAAACAAAACAATTCTCCTCCTCATTTAAAAATATATGCTTAAAGAATTTTGTTGAAAAAGGCTCATTTTTCAAAAAATTTAGAATTAAAACCTGGGAAGATGTTTCTAGCTGCTAAATGATTATATTTTAATTTTTCCAGAAGTAATTTTAATATTGAGATTTTTTATCTTAGAAATTTAAATACTTAGAACAGAATTTTTCAGATTTTTATTTTTCTTCTCCAATTTTAACATTTATACCTTTTTGTAAATAATGTCTGTAGGTTGGAATTTTAAAGAGTTTAAAGCTTAATTACTGTTTTCTGCTGTCTAGGCTCAATTTTGGAATATTGGAAGCTCCAATTATTAGATTATAATCCAATAATACTAAACTAGTACACAGTTAAAGGGTTATATTAAGTTGATTAAAACCTTAATTTCTGATTATTTCTCTTGATTATGTATACAGGCTTTGTATAGTTAAAATCTAAATCAATATCTGGATTGAGAGATTCATCCAGCAGATATCTTTCACTATACTACCAAAACTGTTGCATTAAACCTAATTTTATGTATTTCTTCTATTTTTTTTTAACACAAAGGTCAAATCTATAAAACAGAGTTCTTAACATTTCCTCCTTTATGATAACAAATTTCACTGTATCAATGTGAAATTTCATATTTTTCACTAATATTAAATATAAGGGAATATAACATTAATAAAACACAACAACCCATAAAAACTACCCTTTTACGCTAAGCATGATACTTAGTGTTTAAATTTGCATTTATTTTTATAAAGCTTTACTTGATTATTATTATATCTTTTACACTGTTTTGTTTAAGACATAGATTTAGATATAATTATCACCCAGACAGTTCACAAACTAAAAGTCACGTCTATTGGTTATACTAGCAGTATTACACAATCCTCCGGGTGTAAGAATAAATGCTTGTTTTTTTTTGTTACTTTAAGGTATGAGTAAAAAAAATAGGAACGGAAAGTGCCACTGGGAAAATAAAAAAAGCTTTTATTTTCTTACAATTTTTCCTGTAATACAATTTAATAAATGCAAATTGCAATTTATCAATGGTAGATGAGTTTTTTTAAAGACTATATTATAATTAAATTGCTTTGTTACTGTTTGTTACCCTAATTCTCCTAAAGACATTACATTGGATCAAAAAGGATTTTATAGTACTAGTAGTAATGATATTTAGGCTCAACATAGCCCTTAAATTATATTAAGCTCTCTATCCCTAGAGTAAGTCTGTGTGGTAGATAATATCATCTTCTTAGTAATGATGAAAACTGAGACCTTAATTTACTTTCCCAAGGACGCAGAGTAGGACATTAGTAAGGGCTGACCTATTTTAAGTAGGCTTCAGGTTATTTTCAAAGGGCTATGTCAGAGACCCAAAGGTAGAAATTTAACTTCCTGAATATTAGTTCTATGTTCAGATCACTAGTTTATAATTCATAACTCTCTAATCTGTCAATATGTGAAGAGATTATATAAGCAATAGAAGAAATGAAAAAACAAGCCAAATGAAAAGGAAGTATTAACTTTGTCACTCTTAAACATGTCTTAATTTACTAAAATACATGGGAGAGAGAACATCATCTTGGAAAAATGGAAACAAGACAAAACTTGAAAACTTCTCCCAAAATTATTCTTGGTAGCAAAGATCTTAAGCATATATAATTAGTGGAATAAAAGAAGGTCATTGATATTGTCTGTCTCTGATGACAATGCAAATTGGTCAAGTTATCATCTGACATATCTTTCTGATATTTAATTTTTTTAGCTTACTTAATAAATTAATGCCTCTTCAATGCTAAATACTTTCTTTGCTTACAGAGTCACTCTTCAACATTTGCACTTTTCACCTGTCCAAGCTGAAAATGTGTAGTATTACCTTCCACAGACAAAATATTATGGTACAATAAGGAAAATACCATAGGAAAAGATAGTGCAGCAATATAAAACAATCTTTACTGAAGAAAGCAATGTTTAAAGTATATTAACAGTGATCATTATATTTAAATTTACTAAAGGTTATGAACAAAATAATTGACTACATTTTCAAAGGCAGCACATTCTCAAAACTAATAATAGAAGATAAATAATAGTGATTGATTAAAAAATGATAATCATAACTCTTTCCTTTGAAATCATAAATACTGTGTATCAGTTATATCTTTAATTTTCACGAGAATAGTTCATCAGTGTGTATAATTCTAAATGTTTCCAATTCTAGATATTTTTGCAATAACTTATTAATACCATCACAAGTATAATTGGATTTTTTTAAAACAAACTTCCTACCTGCTTTTACATCATTTTAGGAGTTATCACCTGAAATGAAGACTTTTGTGGATCAGTATGGGCAAAGAGATGATGGAAAAATAGGAATTGTAGAGGTAAGAAACTTACGCATTCTTCTGAAACATAATTTTAATAAATGAGCCTCATTCTGTAGTTGTATCCAGCTCAAACATGATATGATAAGACCCATTCAGAGAGGCTTGTTTTCTCTAAATAGCATGTTATCTTCTATTCAGAAATATAAAATAAAAAATGTTTAGAAATAAAAGGGCCCTAAGAGTTTGCCTAATCCATAGTCCAAATTTAGTACATTAAAAAATTGAGGCCCAGAGAAGTGAAATAGTTTGCTTCTGGTCATGCAGCTGTTTGCTGGCACAGGTGCAGTTAGAAGCCCAAGTCCTCAACTTCTGGATTAGTGCCCATCCCAGTGCATCACCCAGCCTTACTTCAATAAAATGCCCAACCAAGTACGTGGTTAACTGGAATTTCTTATCATTTAACAACACAGTTTTCTGTTAAAATAGAAAACAAAATATATACAATTCCAATGACGTCATGGCAAAAATTTGCATTCTGGTTTCAAAAATTCTGTTTTAGATTGGCAGTTGGCCTTATGAAAAACATAAGAACTTAACTAAAATGAGTGAATGTTTTATGATCTATTATAGGCACAGATTTCTTTTGTCTTGAAACGTGAAGACTGTGGGTGTCAAATCTTATCTTTTGACATTGACTTTTTCGTATAGAGGACAACTTCCTTTTGTCTGTGAATCAAGGAAGCAAAACTTTGATTATGCATCATTTCTCCTACTGCATTCTCAGATTTGCGGAAGAACCATTGCTTCCCTTACTTCTCCTTTTCCAAAACTCTGGTATTTAAGCTACTTTTATTTCTATAACTTATGAGAGAAAATGAGGGGAAAACTTTGTGCAGAAAAATTAATAGGGTCATATTTAAAAATATGCCAAATTACAGGCATAATTATGTTCTTAATAGAGTGTTCTCAGTGTACTAAATTGTGAAGTATTCTGGCTGTCAAAAACATTTAGTCACGATTACCTTTAATTCAGAGAACTAACCTGATTTTCAAATAATCAATCTTATAGGACTCCTGTGATGCCACTGTGAACTACACTTATTTTTAAGCAGCTACTACAAATAGAGTTAAGGAAGGATGTACTATTATTATCCTTGTAATTAAATTTCTTCCCTGGGGTATACACTTTCCCCTTTGCCTATGGTAGTTCATTACTATAGAAATAGATAAATTAATAGTAATGGGACCTACAGATTAACATAGAAGCTAGCTAATCAAGATATGAAATCATTAAAGAAAATAACTTTAAAATGAACATAAATGATATGAGGTAAATCTAATTATTCAAAAAGAGTTGGAAAATCTAAACTCAGTGAAATTATAGATGTGGCTATTTCAGAGTTTTGCATACTTTATAATTCTAATAGAGGAAGACGGCTGTTGTCCTACATTTAATGTATTTCAACTTGAAGGATTTCAGTGAACTCCGTTATTTAATTCTACTTAATTTCTCCAACAATAGTAGGTTGTGCAGTAATATAAAAGGCATGGATCTGATTCATATGGATTTTACATTCTTAAAGGACAAGATAGATAGACCTGTTTTGAATCCAGGTTTTACTACATTTGATACAACACAGTATTTCATTAATGTTTATTTATAAAATGGTTTGAGGTCTAATTTGAATGAGGAGCTAGAGGTTGCTTAACAAATAAATGCCTTCTCTTGAAGGCTTAATGAAAGAAACTTCCCCAGAAGTTTGAAAAGAAAACGTGTCATAGGAAAGAAAAGGTTTTCTATATGAGGAAAGATAGAGAAAGACAAGTAACAGGAGAGGATGAATAAATTAATGAAGGTTGAATTGAAGAATAAAGGGACTTTATAACAATAAGAAAATGACTTACTTTTGTATGATATTATACAATTTAAAAAGTTTTCTAAATAAATTATCTCATTTGATCCTCATAATAATAAAATAAAATAAGTCTAAATATTAAATGAGCATCTAGTTTATAGATGAGGAAACTGAGGCTTCGATTTGCCTAAGGTCAGAGAAAATAAATAAATGTTTAAACTGTCAGAGCCCAGTCATGTTCCTCTAAACTACTCTGCCTTATTCTTTTTTTCAAAAAAAATGAAATAAGGTATGCTTGTTCTGCATTAAAAGAAAAGATTTTCAAGCTTCAGTTGATTGATTACTTATGGCAAGGGTTGAAGTTTAGTCTGTTTGAATAAGGATACACAAAGTATATAGAAGTTATTTGGCCAAAACACTTGAGACACAATTTGGGCAGGACTTTTCAGATCTGCTGAAATAGAAAGAATTTAGAGGGAGAGATGTGAGGCACATCAGAATTGATGAGAAGGTTTTAGTATGCCAGGACCTGGTACTTTTTGCTAGACAGAACCCTTAAGAAGAATTAGCTAGAATTTGTCATTTTAAAGATGAAGAAACTGAAACCCAGAAAGGTTGAATGATTTGTCCCAGGTCCACTGACAGGGAGAGGCAAAACCTATATCTATAAACCTAGATCTGAGTCTGATTACAGAGCTCTTTTCATTAAGGTCAGTTTTCAGCCAATAGAGGGGTAAAGGTGGGGATTAGCTGGAGAGGAGAGAACTAGAGAGCAGGAGAATAGGGAGGAGATTGCTGCAGTAGTTCAGATGCACGCCCATTCAGTCTAAACAAACAAAAAAAAAAGTTGACATTAAGTTGATTCCAACTCACAGTGACCCTATAGGACAGAGTAGAACTAGGGTGGTTAAATAGGAGTGAAGAGAGATAGGAGAGGTTCTGAAAATAACTGGAGAGAGAAAAAAAAAAAGAATGTTACAGGACAGATGTAGAAAATGGAGAAAGGCCGAAGAGAAAATGCCTGAACTTATACAGTGCCATTGAGTGTCACTAGCTGTGTTAAAGTAAGCTCATCTTTGCTTTTTCCAAATTGATATATGCTTACTTTCTAAGAAAGCTTATAGATAACATTAGACACAAATACACAACCAGCTATGAAGTAATAGAAAACTCTGTTTTCCAAAATTTGTAAAGATCTACCTCCGCATGTCAACCACACCATAACTTTGGTGTTCAAAGGGAAAAGAGAGGTTGGATGGGCTTATATGTTAGGCCCACTTAGTACAAATGCTCATGGGCTCGTCCAAATCCAATGAAAGTAAACCAAATGATGATCATGCAGGCTGCTTTCCTGATGGAACAGGCCAAAACAATTTGGCTGTAATTGAAAAATGTTGTTTAAAAGACTGGAAAATATAGTGGTTAATTTTGAAGTTCTGTCCTAAAGAAGTTGACTGACATTTTCCAACATCATGCATTTGCCACCTAGAAACATGCAAAAAGAAGGGTAATGTGTGGATGTGCTTTCTTATGAACTTTGTAATTTCATATCTTTAAAGAGATTTAAAAATTCACACAAATACAGTTCTGTAATAAAAAGATCATTAATATGAACTCAAAATAGGAGCACTGAAATTTTGAGATAATTTAACAAATACCATGATAGTTAAAAAGCTTCTAAACTTACTCAGACTTATGATCTATTGCAGAGAAGGCCTATTAAAATAATTAAAGATGAAAACTGAATGATTTAGCAGGTAATAGAATTTTCTTCCCTGATGCTCACATTAGTATAGATATTTCCCTTCTGGAAGTCAAATCTAAGCTTTCCACCTGATCTTTTAGGCAATGTGTGGGAATCTACCACCCCCTCACCCAATCTCATTGTTTGGATTTGTCCAGGTCAGTGCATCCACTGAAAAAAAAAATAGATCTAACAGCTATTTTAATCCTAAAACTGTAACAACCCTCCCAGGGAAGTAGGCACCTTGCAAGCCTTTCCCTCTTTCTTCCACAATATGTTTGAGGATATGAGTTTAGCCATGGTGTGTGTAATTTTTCCCTGTGGACTACTTTTCCACCTCAGAATTTGGGGAAGCATACGGCAATGATATCTGATTAAAGACTTTGCTCTGGAGAGAGATTTTTTAATGATTTGTTAGGGAAACTTTTTTGATGGAAGATTTTAATGGAGGGTGATGAAGGTAAGAGATGAGAGTCCCCACAAAAAATGACTTCAAATCTGGCTCAAAATACAAGCTCTGTTGTGAGAGGCCATTTAACCTCTCTGAGCCTCTGTTTTATTGGCTGTGAACAGGGATGACAATACATTAACTTCGCAAGGTTGTTATGAGTATCAAGATCAAATGCGATAACACAGACAAGCAAATAGCTGAACCCAGGCACACTGTAAAAACTCAATAAATGTACTTGCTATTATTATTAAAAATAAAAATAATACATTGGAAAATTTAGACCATTCTGCTGAATGGCAAGACTTCTCCTACTTCTTATATAATTTGTCAAATTCAAGTTATTAGTTATTAAACTCAATTAGCCTTAAATTTATATGAGAAGATTATTTGCCTTCTAAATAACTGAAAGGTCGATGGTTCAAACCTACCAGTGGCTCTGCAGGAGAAAAGACTTGGCAATCTGCTCCCGTAAAGATTACAGCTTAGGAAACCCCATGAGGCAGTTCTACTCTGTTAAATAGGGTCACTATAAGTCAGAATCAACTTGACAGCACACAACAACAACAAATTTCCTGAACTCACATTTTCATAGGATGGGAAAAATTTCTGACTTTCAATTAAAAAAAAAAAGTGAATGCTAAAATATGTTGAAGGAGGTTAACGTGTACCATCATTGCCTAAATGACATAGGAATTATGGCTCATGTCCACTTTTTACTAAGAGACATAGATGACTATGCCAGTAATTCATATCACTAGTAAAGTTGCCCTTCATGTATACTCTCCTTGCACCTAGGACTTAGCCTTATCATTGTGTCTATCTTTGAAACTGTCTGCTTACCCATCTCTCTCCCAGTAAAGTTCTTACTAGCGGTAACTGAGAATCCTCGGTATCCAGCACAATGTCTTGTATTTAGTAGGTTCTGAATCTCAGTCAAGTGAGCCATAGTAAGGGATGTCAACCTATTCTAAAACATAAGTCAAGGTCTCCATGTTATGACTAGTAATAGAAGAAAGATGTGAAGCCCCCTATCACCCACTGAGTTTCCTGGGAAGCAGATTCTGAGTTGAAGATTAGCACAAGGAGGTTTATTAGGAGGAGCTGTTGGGATCAATACCTGTGGAAGGTAAGGGAACGGGGCAGGACTGGACAGAGGGAGAAGCTGGGCTATGATACAGTCTCAACAGAAGCCTCAACTGAACCTACAGTGAGCTCTGAAGCTGAGATGACCCTTCAGAGATGCCCCAAGTTTTCAGCAACAGGGCTGGGCCTTTGTATCCCCATGTGGATCAGTCATGGATGCAGCCTCCTTGGGCACACAGCTCTCTTCAGCCCATACAATCCCCAAAGGGGACTGACAGCTGAGGGTTGTCTGCCAGCAAAATACCCAGCACCAGAAGGGAGCTCTCAAAACACCCAGCGCCAGAAGGGAGCTCTGTGTGGTGTATCATAGTCTCCACCCCAACCTCTATCCACAGCTCAGTAATAATTTATTTGAATTATAGTGAAATCTGTGAGAGCTGGAACTCAACGGGACTGCCTTGTTTTTCTAAGTCTCGCAAGTTTTCCACCTTTGACAGGGTACAGTCTTAAACCACTTTCCTATCACTCATTTTAGTGAAAAATATTGGAGTTTTCCTTCTTTGACAGGTTTCTGCCTTACACAGGTTCTGGCTTTTGCAGGTTTTACTGTATCTCCTATGGAACTTTACTTCTACTTCTTTGTGGCCTATGTTGACATTGGATAAATTGGAAAATTGTCTTCATTCATTGGTCCAGAAAATATTTACAGGTGCTGGGCAAAGAAACAGTAAATAAGATACAGACCCATTCCTCAGGTTGATAAAAGATTAGTAGGGAAGACAGCCAAGTAGAAACAAAGTTTTGCTTTCCCACTCCCAGTGACAAGCAACCAGTTCTCATACATGAAACTGTGAAGGAATATTCTTGTGACCACACCTATTTGCCTTCCACTCATCCCCTTGATATTCCTCTCTCTCTTCTTCACCTATCAAAAAGTTTTGGGAGTTTATCAAAGAGAAGGAAGGCAGCCCAAGGATTAAGAAATCGTCAATAATCTTGGAACAGGCAGCACCTGATACTTCTATGAACAGCAGTGACTTAGCAAATCTGAGAACAAAGCAGCTCTACTTAACACTTTCTGTGAAAGGTCTTTGGCACTTTTTATACATAGTATTAGACTTTGTAGCTGGAGAGTTGTTATGTCCAGCTCCAATATTTGAATATTGATCCTTACGCACTTATGGATGGATCTACAGACAACACAGGACGACCACATTGTGACACTGACCTTAAAATAGATGATTTCTTTACGTTCATTATAACCGCATTCTATCCATACGTGTTCGTTGCTTTTTTTAATGCTTAGTTTGTTTTATAATAATCTTTTGCATGTTTACGACTAATTTCTAATACCTTTAAAATAGATGATGTTGTGCTTAGTTTAATATTAATAGTTCAATGAAATCAAAGCAGATTAAATACGTTGCATGCAGATACAATCTGTATTTTTTGGTAAGAGTAATGCCAGGTGGCACCCTAATGGTACGGGCAAATAAATATACATTTACACTGGACATGAAAAGCAATTGTACCATCTCTGTATTTGTCCATTCTATGTCCTCTGAACTTCTTGTGAGTGACATGAACTTTAATTTGTGAAACAAAGATGATTAAAATTCACCTAATGTTACATTTGGCCATTTCTTACTAGCTCATTCTTTCATTACTTTTTTTTTTCTGTTTTCATTAACTCAGTGAATTTGAATAAGTAGGATTTTTTTAAAGAAAAACAACCTTTTTGTTCAAGCCACACATTCATTATAAAAGCTCAAGCAATGAAGAAAGATACAAGGAGAAAGTAAAAAAAATTACTCATTAAAAATCATGCTTATAGGTGTTTTTAATGAAGAAAAATTATCAACCACTGTGCAAGCATTGAAGTCAGGCACGTACTATGCTAGGCAACATACTGGGCATTCAGAGGATGAAGACAAAGAACATTCTCTGCCCTCCTGAAATGGATGGTCTATGGGGAGGGCTCCTCCAAAGCTTAAGATGGTATCTGACAAGTTACATACCAATAAATAAAGAAAGCATTGGTATTGGCTATTTCCTGTTCCTTAAACAAATGCTTATGCTACTGTACAACCCTGATATAATGTGGCCAGATACCCTGTATTACACAGAACCATCCAACATGTATACTTACCATCCAGTTCAATCTACTCTGCAAAATGTCTTCCTCTGACATATTGTATATATTTTCTCCCTCTTCAGGATGCGTGCTTTCTTTTCCTTCCCTCTTTGCTCCTTTTTTTTTAAAATTTTATTTTTATTTTAGTGATGAGGGTACGGGAGTCCAGAAATGGCTGAGGGAGTTGCTGGATATCACAGCTAATTTCTGGCTGAGCCAGAAATAGAGCCCACATCTGAGGTGGGGCCATCAATCCAGCTCCCTACCTCCCCACACTGCAATAGATAGATTATATTAGTTTTAAAATGGGATCCAGAGCCATCTCTTCTCAAAAAAAAAAAAAGGAAGAAAGAAAGAAAAAAGTTATGAAATGAGATCTAAGAGGAAACATCATAGAGCCAGGGAAGTAGAGCTCAAAAAATAAGCCCAAGCTCTGGATTCCAACTGTGGATGTCCTTTTTGCAGAAGCCAACTCTCTGAGAACTGGTTTTTCCTATTACTGTTAAATTTCCCACAATTCGTCGTGAATTGTCTTCTCTACCTCTCTTTTCACTGCCTTACAATTGCCTTTGTTTATCTTCCCTTGCATCTCCTAAGACTTATGCATGCACTTTTTTTTTCTTCCTTTCCTCTACATTCCCATTTGTCACAGTTTCTTCCCATCTCACGTAGAATTTATGGCTCCAAAGTGTGCTGTCCTGTAGGGAGACCTGATCGGTGACAGCAAACAGATGAAGGGGTCAAGCCATTGGATAAATCTGCTTGTGTGTAAGCAGACCAGAAGTATCAGACTGGTCCTCTCTGAGCACACCTGCCACAGCCATCTCACTGAGGGGGGAACCAAGTACTCAAGGGCACGCAAGCCTTCAAAAACATGATGTTACTTTCTAGGAACAAAGTACCAGAAAAAGAAAGTTGAGTCTAACGTTTTTCCTTTCCTAATTCTCAAGGCAATGAAACTGCTCCTAGAGAACATGTTGAAGAAAAACTAAGCAGCAAGTGACACCAGAGATTTGCTGTTGAGCTCCTTACAACAACCTTTCTCTTTTTAAATCTTTTCCAGTTGGCTCATGTATTACCCACAGAAGAAAACTTCCTGCTGCTCTTCCGATGCCAGCAGCTGAAGTCCTGTGAGGAATTCATGAAGGTATTAGAAAGCTCTGTTACTGAGTGAGGATCTTAGAAAGCTGCTTAAAACATGAAAATTGTTGGCTTTTTTTTTTTTAACATGTTGGTTTTCCTTATCGAAAATGTCTTACAGACATGGAGAAAATATGATACTGATCACAGTGGCTTCATAGAAACCGAGGAGCTTAAGGTAAGCAAATGAAAACTTGTGCTAAGTTTTTTTCCTTGCAAATACAATTATGAACTGTTAAGGGCTTCATATCTTTTTTAAAAACCTCCCACAAAAGAAACTAATGTTGAGCAATGGCATATTTTCACCCACTCTTACACATCATTAATGAAGTACCAGATCAAAAAAGAGACTTCAAGTACTTCTTGAAGTTCTGTTCAGCAATGCAATAAATTAGCGTTTTCCATGGTGTATACAAACTGTTCTCTAAGATAGACAGACAGACAGATGGATAGATAGACCAATAGATAGACAGACAGACAGATAGATGTGTTGTTGTTGTGCAGTTGTGTGCCGTCAAGTCATTTCCGACTCATAGTGACCTATAGGACAGAGTAGAACTGCCCCATACGGTTTCCAAGTACAGGCTGGTGGATTCGAACTGCTGACCTTTTGGTTAGCAGTCTGAGCTCTTAATCACTTCGCCACTAGGGTGCCAGATAGATATAGGTAGATATAATTATATATTCAGTCCAATGAGCCATCCCTTTTCATTGAAATTTGAAATTACAGTCTATAAACACCTATATATTTTCCTTTCAAAAGAAAGACAAAGAAAAAAATGGTTGGATACCCACTATAAACCATGTACTTTACAGATATCATCTTTTTAATCCACACATCAGTTCTATGAGATTAGCATTACCTCAATGAGGAAAAAGATCGAAAAAAGTTAAGTGTTATACTGATGGCCACACAGAAATAAGACACAGGGTTGTGATTTTTAAACCCAAGCTTGTCTGCCTTCAAAACCCCTAGACATTCTGTACAACAGCAAGAATAATGACAAAATCCTAATATTCTCAAACTTCTGGGAAACTGCCAATTTGAAAATGAATTTTCCAACTCATAAGTCACAGATGTACAGAGGATGTTGTGAGGGAGGAGTAGAAGATGAAGGGAAAGGCAAAAGGATCTGAAATCAAGTTTTACCTCTGGGCAAGTCTCTGTATTGTCTAGCCTAATTATTTTCTTTTAAAATGGAAGTAATCATACCTTTCTTTCCGATTTAGTGGGAAGCTCAGGTAAGATGTTGTACATGAAAGATTTTGTAAAACGTGAGGCACCATAAATTATATTATTAGTGAGCTCAATAATTTCCTAGTTTTTCAGAAATATGAAATTATTGTTCTCTCATCTCCTCAGACCAATCTCAAGAATTCTATGTTTGGAAAACCCTATTTTCTTTATCTTTAGAATACAGAGTGAATATTTATTGAGCACTGTCTGTGTGACAGGCATAGTACTTAGTGCTTGAAATGTGTTTTAACATTGAATTTTCACAAAAAAACCTGCCAAGCAGGTATTATATTCCCGTTACACAGAGAAACTGAAGTTTAGTGAGATAGATAATTTTTTGATTACATGGCTGCCTAAGAAAAGAACCTAGATTTGGACCTAGATCACCTGATATGCTAATAATGTTGTGGTTTTTTTCCCCTCACAACACCACATGCTTTCAAGCTCATTCTTTAAGAGCACCTCTTTTGCTGTTATGTAGGGAAATATAAATACCATAGTTTCCTAGTCATAGTTCAACATGGTTTCAGTCGTTCACAATTTTGGAGATAGAACTGGGGCATTTGGACCATTAAAAATTGCTGAAACACATTCAACTGCAGCCTTTTTAAAATGTAAGCATTCTAAATAGGAAATCACTCAAAACAATGTCTTTCACAAACTTACAGCTCAGCAACCTTAAAATGACAGTTAAACTATTGTGTTTTTATTCCAATGGACCAAAAATTTTTTTTTTAATTTTTTCAAGTTCATAATAGAAACCTAAGCTCATTTCCAATACTGACCTCAAAATATTCTAAAGGTCTCCTTCTTTGTTCTAAATTTTATTCTCAGGAAGAGATTTGAAATAGAAGTCCTCCTCCCTAGAGAATTTTAAAGATAAGTTGGCGTTCTTTTTTAATGGATCTTTCAAGAAAGCTAATTTTAAGATGTATAATAGAGTAAAACATCTCTTGCTCTCAGACATGACTTTGAATCTCAGAGTCCCGAGGCTTCTCCCAGGCTATTTTTGTGACCACAATTTTAGTCTCTGATGAGGCTGTTTAACCCAATTAATCTCTGACAAAAGCCTCATAAGGCTCAAAAATAAAATTCACTCCCAGAAGATTCCTTTGAATTTTCCATGCTTCACTTTGGATTTGAAGTGGGATGTTTGAAGTGAAAATAAACTTATTAAACTAAGAAAAAGGTCTCCTTCATTGAAAAAAGTGAAGTCAGCTCAACCCAACAAAACTGGTATATTTGAGGCAGGAGGGGGGAAGTTAAATCACTACAAAACCAAAGAAACCCATTTCTTCAATAATATCTGGGTATGGTATCTGCTCAGTTTTCCATAACTGCATTAATTCATTTTCTGGAACAATAAAGGAGTTTCAAATGAACATCACTAGAAAAAACTAAACACTATTATAAACTTAAATACTTACATTGTCATTTACATGGCAAGACTTTGTAAAGCTTTTGATTTCTCTGTTAAAAAAATTAAACTCCCTCACTCCAACTGTCAAACTAATAATCATCTTTTTTCATCCTTCCCACATTAATCTCTATTTTAATATGATTCATATATCCTTCAAGGATTAGATGACATCATCTGTGGCCACCCATTTTCATTTAAAGTCTCCTGAAGCATTCTCACTAAGGTACTTCAGAGTAGTTGAGCCTAAAAGCTAGCCATCTACCCATCTTGTGAAATGAGCTTTATACTGGCTATCAACCGATGTGGAAATACAGCTTGTGAGGGCAGAAAATGCATTTTAAATTAGAGGTAGCTCTCCATCTGGTTTACCGATAATTTTTCACACATATTATGAAGGTATGTAAAGGGAGGACCTTTGCGTTTCATGCACAAAAGTCACCCATGAAGATTTCTTTATGTAGAAATGCATCCATTGGGCTAACTGATTCAAAAGGGTTTTATTCAGATTCCTAAACAATGCTCAATCCAGGTAACTCCTTTAATTGAAATCATAAAACACAATATAGCACAGACATTAACAGATCAGGTCTCAGTAAAAGGTAAATATCGTACCTGTCTAAAGCGGTTTGATGGCTAGAATATCAAGAGGACCGCATGGCTTAGTCTTACTTCTAAGATCCTCTACTCACCCTTTGTACCTCAAAAAGACACTTTCTTTGTATTCCTGGGACATTCCATTTCAAGGCATGCTTAAATGGAAGCAGACTGTCCATTATTGATGAAACTTATCTGAGTGTTCTTTGTCTTAACAGAACTTCCTAAAGGACTTGCTAGAAAAAGCAAACAAGACTGTTGATGATACAAAGTTAGCGGAGTATACAGACCTAATGGTAAGACTGATCTTGAAATTATAATTATAATTATAGCTCTAAAAATCATTTATTATAGAGGTTTTGAATCCATATTCATCATGGCTTAGGAAATCACAGACTTTGTCAGAGTTAAAAGAGACTATCTAGCTCCTTTATTCATTGACTTGGTGCTATCAGTGAGGAAATCCAAATATACCCAGCCTGTTTACATGGTAAGTAGTATAACCAAGATTAGTTGTAGAATATTGATAATAGGACCAAGAAAACTGGTTACACTAGGCACTTAATGTTTGGAGAATGAACAAATAAATTAATGAGGTTCCAGATGAAATAATCCAATATCCATGAAATTAATTCCCTTCAGGTAGTTGAAGTTTGCTCATTTTGATTAATTACAGGATTAGGACTACCAGGAAAATGTCCTTGCCAAACTGACTGATTTCATGGGGCAGTATTTTGGCATAATTTTAATTGTCTAATTGTTGAAATTAAGGTAAAGTTTTAAATAATCCAAGTGGACACATATATTTATACATATCTTAAATACTGTGAAGGTACAATGAATTCTTACCCTATGAATTTAAATAAATAACCCAATAAAACATAGCCACATATCACAAAAGCGGCTGTAGTATATTAGATTGATGAAGGAGTTAGACTTTTTTGTTACCTTGAGAAACAATCTTATTAAAGAGTTTGATGACATTTGATGTGAGGTTTACTTTTAGCCTCTTAGCCTACTTTTATTTCGGAAAAAAAGAATACTAGAACTTTACTACTACATTATTCACTATACATATTCATTAAAAGTGGAACTAATCTTTAGTCTCAAAACAATCAAAAAGGTTTTCATTGTAAGGAAATGCCATTTTTAATTCCTCATTACATTACTATTTATCATAGCATTAGTATACAAGTGGGGAGACTTTCTTGCTATGTGTTGCAATGGGCAGATTTAAACTCTAACTTTTAGGTAATGGACAGTAACCTACATTTATCAATCTTCTGTTTTGTTCCAATTTTAAGAGATGTCTATTTAAGGTAAAGACTCCTTTTCAGGTAGAAATTTGAAGCAAGCTTTTAAAAACCACTCAGATGGGAGTTTTCCCCCTGTTGGATTGGCCTGGCATATCTGATTAAATGTCATAAACCAGTTCAAATTCAGGAAGCAAGTTAATCAAGAACTAATTAAAATTTAAATATATATTTGCAGAAATATTTCCCTATGGGCACAAAACTCTGTGATCTACTTGTACAGTATGTTGGAAAATAGTGTGACAATATTAGAATTTATGTTCAATGGATTATAAAATGTTGTGTCAATATAGGACCCTGAAGAAATCTGCCTCCTATAAAAAAAATTCTTCAGATATCTAAAACCACAGAATATGCGTCCTTTTCTTCCTAAAGAAACCTCACTGAACCTATTTCCAGCATGATCCTGATCACTATCCTTTCGTTAAAACCAGAAACAATGCTACTTATTTCACACATTTAATATTTGCATTTAATATCTTTTATATGTAGTACTTATGTATAACAGCAATAGTTACTACCTTCTAAAAATATGATTGCTTCTCAAATGTGAGTATCATTGTGTTGTGTCTAAGTGTGTCTTGGTGTATGATGTATATGTAAGAGTAAAGGAAGGTAGGGGGGCTTTACTGAGAATCTAGTACCCAATGGAAAATAAAGCAATTCAAAATTACTCAAAAGTTCTATTCACTAAGGATTTATCCACGTTAAGTGCCTATTGCTTCTGTTTGTACTCTCTTATGTTCTAAAGGAAGGGAAACACAGCAAATATTTTTCATACCATCATTTGGAGAGGTTCTGGGGGTACCATATACTGTCACTCTGAATACACATAAATAATAATGACACATAAAAAATAATAATGACTACCTTCTAGAAACCTAGCTAAGGCCACTATTATTTTTGACTATTCTATATTATTATGATACACTTTGGCAATTGACACAAATCACAGATTGGAAAGTAACCAAAAGATGCTAGTTTCTAGACTTTTGCTGTCTATAAAAGTATGTAATAATCATTTTTCAATGGCTACAATAATAATTTCTGTCTTTCAGCTGAAATTATTTGATTCAAATAATGATGGCAAGCTGGAATTAACTGAAATGGCCAGGTGAGTTTAGGAACTATGCAAATATCATTACAATAAGCTGACCTTGTGAAAAGACTAACGTATTACTACAATGTTTTTCTCTCAAAAGGTTACTACCAGTGCAGGAGAATTTTCTTCTTAAATTTCAGGTATTTAACTGTTTCTTTGTCATAAATGCTATTTTCCTTGAGAACTTAAAATGTGGTAGATTTACCAAGGGAAACATTAATAATAGCATTTTAACCTTTTCTATCTTTTAGGGAATCAAAATGTGTGGGAAAGAGTTCAATAAGGCTTTTGAGTTATATGATCAGGTAAAAGTTTGTTCTTATCTATAATTTGAATCTTTAGAAGAATTTGGAAAATGTTCACTAAAGAAAAATCCCCATAAACTCAAGGTAAAAGAAACATGGGATATTAAAATTATATTACCAGTTCATTCTTTTCCATAAGAAATGTTTCATGGTATAGTCCAAATTAGACAAACCTTGATTCAAATCCCCATCACAGTTCATCTGCTCTCCAAACCTCAATTTCTTTATTTGTAAACAAGAGATAATCTCACTTGTCATATGAACATATTTATGATTACTGACCTCTCAACAGGGGGCGATACTGTGAACAGAGTTAAACATTAAATGTGAAAGTGTGTTGGAAAGTTCAAGGTATTTTACAAATGTGTTGAATGAAAGGCAACTCATATCTATTTTGGAATTTCAGAGGAGCTAAAAATTTTGAAGTCTCTGGGTGGTGGAAACAGTTAAACACTCAACTAGCTCAAAAGTTGGCAGTTTGAACCCACCCAGAGGCACCTCGGAAGACAGGCCCAGCGATCTGCTTCTGAAAGGTCACAGCCTTGAAAACCCGGCGGAGCAGTTCTACTCTGCACATACAGGGGTCGCTATGAGTCAGAGTCAAGTCGACAGCAAGCAACAACAGCAATTTTGAAGGCCTGAGAGGTTAAAACATCTGCTGAATATTCAGTGTGGAAATTTTCTGAGGATTTCAATTATTTCCATTTTACATTGTGTTGCATTATTGTGAATGGAGCTGACTGTTTTACTTCTCTGCCCCTAGGATGGAAATGGATACATAGACGAAAATGAACTAGATGCTTTACTGAAGGATCTGTGTGAGAAGAACAAACAGGTAACTCAGTTACTGTGACACTTCTTTAGCAAATTCTACAGACCCATCCAGAATTAGCCGCAACACCCGCTTTGGAAATCTATGGATGTATTAGTGGAGGAGCAGAAGTAGATCTCCATTCTTAAATCAGTTTGCTACAGCCTAAACTAGTGTAACTGTCATGCATAGATTAAGAAAAGAATCTTATTATTCCACATTTGTATAAGAATTTAATCCAGCTTTTCTTAATGGATTGATGTAATAAGCAGTTTTCATCCCACATTTTATAGCTTGACAGTGATTAACTGGATTCCATATTTAACTGGATTACAATGCTGCCTATCTCTCTACAGGAACTAGATATTAATAATATTCCAACATACAAGAAGAGCATAATGGCTTTGTCGGATGGAGGGAAGCTGTATCGAACAGATCTTGCTCTTATTCTCTGTGCTGGCGACAACTAGTCAGGTGACCATGACCACTTACTAGCGATACATTGTATCTAAAAAATAACTGTGCACTGTAAGGGAGTAGGCTGTATTTTCTTTTGTATCTGTAAATTTAACTGCATATAGATAATTATCCAGGATGTGTGGCACATTCTTTTCAGCTTGTTTCTATACTGTTTGTAATATACAGTTTTTGTAACTATATGACTGATAAGGAAAATGTCTATGCTTAGGCCAGTCAATACACTCAATTAAAAAATAATTATCTAACATAGTCTTGCCTTCAGAAATACAGTTGGACAAGACTTTCCTAAAAATTTCACCAGGATTAATCTCTAAAATTCTAGTCTCTGATGTGTAAATGCACATTTGTCATTGAATAGGAGAATTATACATAACAGGCCAAGCATTCTTATTTCAGACAATTTAAGGACTGTCCCACATAATATTTTTAAGCAATGTTTCTAATTATTAGGAGGAATGTGCTTTTACATCTAAAATATTCACCAAAATATCAATAAATAGTTAACTGTGGCTCTTTGAGGTTAATAGTCTCACTAGAAAAGATTTAGTTTATTAATCAACAACATGTCTACTGCTTGAATTTATACCAAGCTATTGGTTCAAGTTGATCTGGTGATCACAAAAGGATCAGACTTGATACTTAAATCTGTCTGATTCTATACCTGTATTTCCAATAAGCCTACTGTCAAAAGGGATGACCTTAATCCATTTTCTAAACTGTTTTCATGTGTTGCTGGTTATAATTATTCTAGTAAACTGCTGTTTTCACATCATATTCTGTGTAATCTGATTAAATTTAATATACTGAGTACCCTGGTGTCTAGTTTGCATACTGCCTGTACTTTCTTTCTATGTAGAACTATTCATTTCCACCAAGGGTATCTGCTGCCTCTGAAAATATTTTTTTCTAGCTATAACAATTCTATTTTTTACCACATAATTGAACTTTAATGTAAAATTCATAGCATCCTGATTGTTGAATGTTGTATCATCAGTACTTTTGTGTATTCTGTGGATCCTATATTTCATATTGAGATCGGCATTCAAAATGCTCTATCTGCAAATAGTTTCAAATGAGTTGAAAATTATATCTGAAAAGAAATGCTAATGTAATCATTTATCTTATTTAGCAAGGAAGGCTAAAACATTCTTTTGACCCACATCTAAGTCACAAGTTCACATATTTGTAGGTAGAATATTCTATACTGGTTAGAGCTGACATGTGAATGTGGTGTTGTCTGATTCTTTGTGAAATAGGGAGCCATGAGAGATGTGTTTGAGTGAAATCTACAAAGTTACCACCAAAGAGTTGATGAGGATTCTGGAATCAGCTTGAATGCGGCCATTCTATAAATTTAACACTGATTTTCTCAATTCAAAGAAATTTTTAAAAAAAAGTAAGCTATCCCTTTCCCCCAAGAATGAAGAGCAAAAGAGACCTGCCAAAAAATAAAATGAACCAAATAATGTAAGTGAGTGGTAGATAGACTTTGCCTCTAGTGTGTAAATGGAAGCACTGATCTTAGGCTGAATTTAACTAAGAATAAATAAAGAGGAAAATAACCTTCATCTCTTGTATTCTTGTTTTTTCTACAAAATGTCAGTTGACATGTATTCTGTGATTAATCCAGGTGGAGAGGTTTAAGATGCTCAAATTATTATAGTCTAAGAAATCTAAATAAATGTAAACCTCACTCAGTGAATTACTGGATGCCTCAATGGATTAAGGGGTGCCTCTGACATTAAGATTCACAAAGACATTTTTTAAAATCCAGATACTGGATTCTTTTTTTCCAAATATTTCTTCAAAGAAGACCTTCTCCAAAGGAATAGGAGGAACCTACAGAATTTTCCTACCTTTTATCTGTAGAAAAATAGCTGTTCACTACAATGTATACACAAATCCTACATCAGGTTTGGCACTCTTACAATGACAGCATGAAAGAAGAAAGAAAAACAAAAAAGGAAGTATGATGGTAGCATTTCTCAAGAGACTTCCTAATAATGGTCATGAATCTAGTACCAGGCCTATAACTCTGCTAAACTGGACACATTTACACATAAGTGATAGGTCAACCTCCCAGGGCAGAAAACAGGGCAAAGAGTGGAAAATTGGTCTTAAAGGGGCAAATATAAGATGACTGGTATTAACACCCACCTGACACCATAACACACAGTTTCATTCCTGGGGTAACATCCATCTAAATATGAAATGTATGTAGACAATAATGCAGAAGAATATCTTCATGAGCCTCATGTATGGGAAGATCTCTTATAAATGAAAAACATACTTTAAAACTTGACTCTTAAGAACTTCTGTTCATGAAAAACACTTATTAAGAGATGGAAAAAACAAATCTCCAAGTGGGAGAAGATACTTGCTACTGATAAGGCATGCATCCAAAATACATAAATATTACTGCTAAAATCAATTTAAAAAATACAACCCAGTAAAAAAATATGTAAGAAAGTTGATTAGGTATTTCACAAATAAAGGATTTCTAAGAGTCCAATAAATATAAAAAGTAATCAGTTTTATTAGTAATCAGGAGAAATGTAAATAAAATGAAAGAGATAACTACCATACGCTCATCAGAAAAGCTAAAATTAAAGATATTTAGAATGCCCGGTGATGGCACACAACAACAGAATGCTGAGTACTAGTGAAGATGTGGCACAGAGGAAACTCACACACTGCTTGCTGTGTTAGTTTAAATTGTAAACACTTTGGAAAGCCATTTGGCAATATCTAATAAATTTGAACATATGCACACCCTATAACCCAGCAATTTCACTTCTTAATATTATCAACCTAATAGAGAACTGTGTATGTATCTTCACCACAAGATAAGAACAAGAATGTTCACATCAGTATTGTATATGTCACAGTCACTAGAAACAACCCAAATGTCCACCAACAGCAGAACTAATAAATGACATATTCCTATAGTGGAACAGTATATAGAAATGACAATGCATAAACAGTTGTTACCCAGAAAAAAAAGCCAGAAATAGAAGAATACATATTGTGTGACTCTATCTACATAAATGTCAAAAGCAGCAAAAAACTATGGTGTTAGAAGTCAAGACAGTGGTTAGTTTTAGGAAGGAGGGAAGGAGTTGTGATGGGGGGTATGGGGGTAGCTTCTAGATTCCTGGTGCTGTTCTTTTCTTGGCCTGGGTGATGGTTACATCGGTGAGTTCATTGAGTGATAATTCATAATTTGTGCACTTTTAACATCATACTTCAATTAAAAAGCTTAAAAAATTAATGGACTTTTTTTCCCTTGAAGGCTTTTGAAATGTAACTGTGATTCATAAAGATCCTGCTATTGTCTCTTGGTTTAAGTTATGATCCCAAGAAATCTAGTTCTAGCTTGACTAGCTGTGTGACCTTGGGCAAGTCACATTAACTTCCTTGGCTCTCTATTTCCTCATCTGTAAACTAAAGGGGCTTAGAATTAGTATCTTCTAAGGCTTTTCCAGAGTCCCTGGGTGGTGTAAATGGTTAACATGCTTGACTGTTAATTGAAAGGCTGGAGGTTCGTGTCCACCCAGAGGCACTTCAGAAGAAAGGCTTGATGATCTGCTTCCAAAAATCAGCCATTGAAAACCCTCTGGAACATAGTTCTACTGGTTTAAGGCTTTTCCAACTCCAAAATTCTATTACTTAAAGTCACTTAAATTCTTGCTGCTTTCCTTTTCCACAAGAATAAGGAAACAGCTGCCACTCCACACCTGAAACATTTCCTGGAGGTGGTGCATTTTCACATATTAATTATAATATTAGTGACACTGTTACCAATAATCCTCATCTTAATTTAACTGAGTATTAACTCTTCCATTAGAGCAAGAAAAGCAGGACTTAAAGGAGGTACTAAGTAGAGACAGACTGACACAGTGTCTGCAACAATGGGCTCAAGCATTAGTTTTATTTGTGAGGATGGCGCAGGACCAGGAAATGTTTCATTCTGTTGTACACAGGGGTCACTATGAGTATGTAGGGTCACTGTGAGTCGGAACCAACTCGACGGCACCTAACAACAACAAGAAGAGTAACGACATAATAATTCTTAAGGTAAAACATTGATGTGGTTACAGTCTAAAGGTGGTCTGTCATAAAGTATAGCCATTATCCATCAATAATGCTTGTTTCTCTTTCAGACTCTGGAAGATTTTTCTATCAGTTGTTATCCCTATAATTTCTCTTTTTTGATCCTTTTTGTCATGACTGCATGCTTTGCTTCCTCATACATCATTCATAAAAACATATAGTAATGAAACAAACTCTAAGCGATGATTACCAGGAGAAAAAATTATAAACTCACAAATCCTTTTTTAAAAAAATCCCATTAAGACACCAACGTGTAAAAAGACAAGCAGAAAGTTGCAAATGTAGAAAAGTATTTAGTCTAACTAATAATCAAATAAACACACTGTTTAAAAAGTCTTCGTTACTTATACAATTGGTAAATAGTTTTTAAATGAGAACACCCTGTGTTGGCAGGTACTTGTTGAAATTGGCACTGCCACACACTGCTCATGGGAGTTTAAACCCATACAATTCTTTTGAATAACAATTTGGAAACATGTATCAAGGGCTTTAAAAGCTTCATAGCCTTTGATTAATAATGCTACTTCCATAAATTTATCTTGAGGAAATGATTACAAATACTAAAAATGTTTTCTGAACACTGTTCATCAGTTTTATTTATAACAGTAAGAAATAAAAATAATGCCTAGAATAAAGATTTAAATTATGATACATATAAATAATGGAATACTAAAAATCATATTTATGAAAACAAACAGGATCTGACTTTTAATACAATCTCAATGGTGTTTAAAAAACTTGGGGGGAGAGATTGAGAAAACATTGGGAAAAAATAAAAAAACAACAATAAAGTTATCAAAATGTAAATACTGAATATTAATTTAACTAAAAATAGAAATATGGTTATATTGGTAGAATTAGTCGGGGTAAAGAGTTTGTGTATGTCCATGTGTGTTTGGTGGGAGGTGGAGAATGGGTATAGAAATGCAACATGAGAGCTAAACCTTCATCATTCATGGAAGAAAGTCAACAAAGTTTCTAAAATTGAAAAAAACAAAGAAATAGCAAAATAAGTATGTTGCTTTTAAAAATGGAAGTATAATACCGGAAGAGAAAGAAATAGTTGAAACCACTTGCTGTGGAAAGTGAGCTTCAGAGCTGGGACTGCAAGAGTACTTGTTGTGCAAATTATATATACAAATTACTGTAATAAAGATGAATAAAATGCTTGAAAATAAAAATATCAAAGTGTTAACAGAAGTAGTTTTGGGAGGTTAGTAAATTGTTTTTTTTTCCCTATTCTCACATTTTTGCTTGATAGCCATGTTCTAAAAATGAATGAGTGGAAAAAAAAAAGAAAAAACCAGGAGGGCCCTATCTTTCATTTGTATGTTTTACATTTTACAAATTGTTTTACTTGTTTCATCTTGCTTCTTTTGTTATCGATAGCTGCCAGCTGCCATTGACTCCAACTCATGGTGACCTCGTGTGTCAGAATAGAACTGTGCTCCACAGAGTTTTCAATGGCTGATTTTTCAGAAGCAGATTGCCAGGTGTCTCTTCTAAGGTGCCTCTGGGTGGACACAAACTTCCAACGTTTCAGTTAGCAGCCAAGTATGTTAACTTTTTGTGCCACCCACGGACTCCCTAATCCTCATAAAAAATCTAGTGAGGCAGATATTATAATCCTGAATTCTACAGATAAAATAAGAAAGGATGACACTTGTCCACGGTCATACAACTACAGACATTTTTACTTTATGAGACATTAATGATTTAAAAAAAAAAAAAGACGTGGATGAGTGAGAAATGAGAGTTGGCATTAAAAGGTAAAATGGAGACTGGGGTACCTGCACTGAAAGAATGTGAAGAAAAATGTAGCATAAAATGTCCAGTGAAAGCCAGTATAATTGGGAATGACAAGGTGACTTATTCCAAACCTATAACTTTACCCATTTATGTACACAATTAAGTGTAATAAATGTGATTATTATATACACAATTCCCTGTCAACATGAATAAGGGTTTCCCTATGGGGCTTATAGCATATAAATTCAAATAAGAAAACTGTATTCCTTTGCAGGTTGACTCAGACAAGGTCAGATGGAAGCCGGTCACCTATCTTGATAATCTGGGTAATAGAGAGTCCAGTGAGCATGTTATGAGTGATTCTGATGAAAGCAAATTGGGCTTTTTTTTTTTTTAATATAGGCTCAAAATAAAAGTTATGTAGACTTGAGAGAGTTTGGTTTTCTTATTACTTGATATTCAGGATGATGAATTAGTAAGGCCAAATAAGAAATGGAATTAAATCATACATTAAAGTATTTTATAAGCTACATTCCTGTTCTCTACCCATTTAATGTGACAATGAAATGCTATCTCCCAGGAATCACTTTCTCTAAACTCTAGAGACAGAATTAATTCCTTCCTCTTCCACACTTAACACTACTAGAGTAATATTTATCACACTGCATCATAAATAATTATTTATAGGTCTGTCTATCCTGATAGATAATGAGTTTCAAGAGGGCAAAGGCAATAGATGATTCATTTTTTTTTTTATCCTCAGTACCAAATAAAATGCCTAGCTACAAAATAGGTACTGGTAAACATTTCAGGTTTGAATTAATATTGAGCTAGCCAAAGATGATCATTCACAAGCTGAATGAAAAACAAATAACTGAAAAGGTAGAGTCCATTAAATTTAATGGAGATTCACTAATTTCTTTTCAGCCCAAAAACCATAAGCATGGTTTAATATGCAACTCAAGTGCTACTTCCCCCATGAAATTTTTCCTGATTTTTCCATATATCTGTTCACTTATCTACGCTTCCAAACATTTTTACCTCTATCAAAACCCTCATCCATTCTCTCTCTTTTTCAAATTCCTTAAAGGGACGATATCCCATCTTTATCTTTGAAATATACAATGTCTGCCACTGGGCCTGGCACATAATACACACTCAATATATGTTTGTTAATTAACACTTTATTAGACTTGAAAGAACTTAAAAGATTAGAGAATGTTTGGATCATTTCTATTCACTGACTTCTTTTCTAATCAAGAATGAACACCAGGGTGGTCCTACGATCCTTTTGTCTTCCTGATCAGTCCTTCTATTGTGTCCCACTGCTCCTTGGTGACCTAACACAAAAAGAAAATGCCAGTTTAATGTAGTTCTCGCATGTTTTTAAAGCTTAGTATCCTAGCTGCCAATATTATGTTACATACGCAAAACACATTACCTTCGTCAGACTGTTCATTTGCCCCGAAATAAATGCTTCCTCTCCACCATCAAATCTAATCACCTGAAAAAAAAAATTAAATATTCTGAAATAAACCATTGGCCATTTTCCCATCCTAACTGGAGACGCTATCTCCTTGGCACTTGCAATCAATTCCAAATTTAAAACATAAAACTGATGATTAAACCTGAATTGATTTACTTCTGTTTAGAATCCTCTTTGAACCATCTCCACACACTCAAGTTCTACCCAATCTTTAAGATCAACTTAAAGGTATGTCTACCATGCCAACTTGCACTCAATAAAATTAATTTGTCAGTGAATGATTTTCATAAGCTAAATAATATATAATATTTTTATATTATTTACAGCTAAATAAATATTTTAAATCATACTTTCATTAAGCATTGTCAGGATTGGTTAAACAGTTTGTCCCTGACCCCCAGCCTGCCCTCCAAAAAAGTCAAGAAAAACGACAATGCTTACAGCTCCATTTATCCAAGAAGCATAATCACTACACATGAAAGCAGCAAGATTTGCAATTTCCTCCACAGTTCCTAGCCGACCACAGGGAATTTTGTGAATCATTTCTTTCTCGAATGCTCCAGTTGGGTCAAGACGGCTAAAAGCACCCTTACAAATTAAGAAAAAAGAGTAAGTTTGTATTTTTTTTAACACAACCCTCTTTTACTTAAATGAATTTGCAAAAACTAGACTATTACCAAGGCAGTTTGTTCATACCTTAGGCCTTGTAAGTAACAGAATTTTGCCAAATTCTTCCATTTGCTTTAGCCCAAAACAAGTCATTTTACCTAACTTTGACTTTAAAAAAAAATCACTGAAAAAAATTTTACCTTTTTATCTTAGTTTCTTCATCTATAAAATGAAGATATCTGTCCTAGCTCACAAAATCGTTGTAGTCATCAAATGAGAAAAGTCATGTGAAAATTCTCCAAAATATGTACATGTTCAGGGTGGTGGAGGTAGTGGTGCTACTGTTATTTCATTTAGTAAACAAAGAAAAATGACTAAAAAGGAAAATTTAGGAGAGAATTCCTTTCCTTCTCCTTTCTCCAAAAATAATGGGAAAGGAAGAAAACAAATGTGTAAAAATATCAAATTCAAGTAAATCCTAGACACAGAAAAACTATACCTAAAATTTACCAAACAATTTTTGTCTTCATGATGTGAAAGAACAAACCAAGATGAGGAATAGATGTGTACTGATTAATAAAAGCAATTGACCTTTTCTATATTAATGCCTTGAAGTCTAGGTGACAATTTTTCTCAGTAACCCGGAACTGAGACAGAGCAAGCATTCAGGAGGCCCCTCATGAGACTTCCCACTCTCCATGAACAGAGCAACAGAGACAAAGAGGAACAACTGGCCCCAGTCTTGATTGTGTCAGTACTTGCTAGACAGTCTCTGTGCTTCTGTTTGTTTGTTTTTTTTAATATCACTAAAACCACATAGTAGCTATCTGTGTACAAGTCATATCTCTACTACTAGACCATAAGCTCCGTGATGACAAGCACTTTCTCTCAAATGTTCTTCTATCTTTCTCAGTACCTTTGAGCAGAGCAGTTGAGTGATCCTTCCTAGATATTACCGGAAAACCAACTGTCATCAAGTCGACTCCAACTCATGGCAACCCCACATGAATCAAAGTGGAACTGTACTCCACAGGGTTTTCAATGGCTGATTTTTTAGAATTAAATCACCAGGTCTTTCTTCTGAGTCACCACCTCTGGGTGGACTCGAACCTCCAAACCCATGGTTAACAGCTGAGTGCATTAACCATTAGCACCACCCAGGGACTCCCTCCTAGATATTAAGGTCCTAGAAAGAAGCTTCTTTGACTATGGACCTCTTTTCAGATAGTGCTTATTAGCACAGTGCCACCCTAAATCATGAATATATGTTTTTCAGTTATTTTCCACTAATTTTATTAGACTCTGTATTATTGAGGTGTCAGACAAATAAGATATTCAAGCAAATTTCACTCATTCAAGTAATTTTTCTATTTTCCACTCCTTTAAACTGCTGAATGAACGAATACAGCCATTTCCCTCTTAATATATAATACCCCAGGTAATATTTAATACCTAAAACCCAAATGTTCCTTAGTTATCTAACTTGAGCTGGGCCCTCAAAGCTGCATCCCAGTTTGGATTATAAATTCTTGATTTACAGGAAAACAAAAGAATTGTGAGCGTAAAGTTGTTTGGGGGTAATGTGAGAGAACAGAGAACCTGTGGACATACTGCGCAACAATTGCAAGAGTCCTGGTGATAATTATGAATTGTAATGAGTATCCATAAAGATTATTGATTAGAGGAGAAATGCATGCCATCATCAAAGGGTTTTTAATCAGAGAGATGTGAGAGTTAGATGACATGCATAATTGCATGTTTGAAAGTGAAAAAGCACAGACATGAGCTAAAGAAAATCTACCTATAACAAGACGAAACCTGTATAAATTTCCAGAATATCTCTTAAGCTAAAAATATCTCTTAAACATTTCCATGAATTAAAAGAAGAATGCCAGTCAAAGTAAGAGTCTTTAAAGTATGATGAAAATTAAGAAATACAAGACAATAACAGATCATTGAAGCAAATTGGACACAATGCCAAAACTGATGGCATTAAGGATCCCAGAAAATTAAGATGTTGAAATTGACCTTGTTAAAAAGTTGCAAGGCTGCCGTATTCCTGCCCACCTCCTTGTTTTTTATACTGAATAATCGTAAAACTCTCTTCCCTACTACCAGGGCTGCAAACTTAAGATATTCCTGAAAAGTCCCTCATTAAACCACCAGAATACGTCCATTAATGTTGCATTCCTTAATCATTCACAATGTGATAATAAACAAGCTAAAACTTACTTTGGTTTTTATAGTCCCTGGTTGAATTATGTTGAATCGCATTCCATATGTAGCCCATTCAGCTGCAAGAGACCTAAAAATTAAACAACACAGATTCAAAAATATTAAACCATACGTGAAAAATACTAAAAATCAACAGTCACTGCATACTTACTAAATGCCAGAGACTACAACCCCAGCAAGTAGGTAGTATTATTATTCCATGTTACACATAAAGAAACTGAGGTGCACAGACGTTAAATCATTTGTTCAGGGTCACACATAGATACTGAGTTAAACTCAAGTGCTCTAGCTTCAGAGTTTATGCCCTTAACCACTATGCTATATGACCTAACATTTACATTTTAGGACCAAGAAATCCAATATTACACATTTTTAGAGTATTCATTAACTAACACAAAACAGTGACAGATTCATGCCCCTCCATGTTTTCAGCCCTGCATATATAAAATTTGATATAACTTTACTTACAGCCTTGTACGTTGGATTAAATGTCTGCAACATCACAAGTGCTTTAACTGAAGAAGATTCAGATTGCAGAGATTTAAAATATTAACCACATCCATGTTAAACTAGACTTTAATGCAACTGTTGAAGTGAGCTTAAAAGGAAATAGGAATCTAATAAAATCTTACAGAATGCAATGATGCAAAATACAAAAACACAGAATCCTGAAACAACCTGTTTTAAAAGCCCACTGTTGTTGTTGTTGGTTTTCGTTGCATCAGCTCCAACTCATGGCAACTTTATGTGTAACAGAACCATCTTCATGATCATTGGAATGTTTGAGTCCTTGATTGATATTTCTAATTTTTATTATCTAAACTTACCTTACAAATTTATATTGCCATGTGTATGTGTATCTACGTATTGTTCTATCTAGTTCCAAAAAATGACTTAAACCAAAAACCTGTTGCCATCAAGTCGATTCTGACTCATAGCGACCCTGTAGGACAGAGCAGAACTGCCCCATAGGGTTTCCAAGGAGTGGCTGGTGGATTCAAACTGCTGACTTTTTGATCAGCAGCCAAGCTCTTAACCATTGTGCCAGCAGGGCTCCAAAACTGATTTAAAAGTGGCTTAAAAGAAAGCATATAATGCAAATTAGAAAGATAATTTGAAAGTAAAAGAGAAAAAGAAATAAGGCTAAGGAAATATAACAGAGCCAGGAATAAACCTAATACCTAAATGTACTGTGACGTTCCATATAACTCCAATAGGCAGATCACAAATTTGTATCTATTCTTTCCATGATCCCATGCGAAAAAGAGAAGCCTAAACAGTTACACAACTCACAATGCTCATAAAAAATAAGTAATTGCTCAGGAAAAGGACAATTGTTTCTGATACAAAGTCAGAAAAACATTTCTTTCTAGAAGACATTTAAAAGAGAGAAATCGTATAATGTAATAATGTGGTTAAAATATTGTATTCTTACAATAAACAGGACACACTTTAGAAAACTGTAAGATATCCATTAATATGGCCTGACAGTATCACTTCATTGGCCAACTCAGTAAAAGCAATTCTATAGGGTGAGTAGGGGTAAGATGTTGTTGTTAGCTGTCATCAAGTCAGCTCCGACTAATGGAGACCTTATATAGAACAGAACAAAATGACAAAACGCTGCCTGGTCTTGCACCATCCGCATGACCTTTGATATGTCTGAGCCCACTGTTGAGGCTATTGTGTCAATCCATCTCATTGAGGGTTTCCCTTGTTTTTGCTGAACTTCAATGTCCTTCTCTAGTGACGATATCTCTCCTGATGACGCATCCAAAGTAAGCAAGACGAAGCGTCACTATCCTGGCCTCTAAGAAGTACTTCGTTTGTATTTCTTCTAAGACTTGACTTGTTTGTTCTTCTGGCAGTCCACGGTATATTCAATATTCTTTATCAACATCAAAATTCAAACGCAACAGTTTTTCTTCTGTCTTCTTTCTTCATTGCCCAGCTTTCGCATGCCCATGAGGCAACTGAAAAGAGGCTTGTGTCAGGTGCACCTTAGTCATCAAAGTGACAGCTTTGCTTTTCAGAACTTTAAAGAGGTCTTTTGGAGTCCAGGTATTGTCTGTTAATCTGACTTAATTCTGGGGTGCATTTCAGAGAAATGGGTAGGTGCATCTCTTACCGGCAACGCCTTCATAAAAAATTGCTTCTCTGAGTGATGTTTTTGACAGAGTTCATCATCCTACCCCAAGCATACACTTACATTGCTCCTACTGTAAATTGCCAGGGAAGTAGTAAGCTCTTGTCCTAACAAAATCACTGAGATAAGCAAAGTTCACATCACCCTGTGAAAAAACTGAGTACCCCACTAAGAAAAACTGCCTAGAGGGAAAGCCATCCTTGCGCTGCTCAGAGGTGCCCTGGATGAATTTGTTCCAATGGCCTGCTAGCTCTCGTTAAACAGTTTATAATCTGAAGAACTCTAATACAATAAGGAATGCATCTCATACAGTCTGCTCTGCATGTTAAAATGCTACGCACAATATACTCAATACGTGTTAGCCATTATTGTTGCTCTTTCCATTAATGTTTTTTGTGTAATTAATACATGCCAACACTCTATAAGTGTTGATCACCCTCAAATAAAAAGTCAGTCCCCGCTGTCAAAAGAGGTCAGTTTTGTTGTTTAATAAACTAGTTACTATACTGGGAATTGTGCAATGTGTGCCATGGCTGCTTGAAGGAAGAAGCACTTTATCAGCAGCAAAAGAGAAGGCTTCCCTGAGGAGGCGATATTTGAGCTGAGATTTAAAGAAGGATTAGGAGTTTGTTGGAGGAGGGTAGGGGGCAGGAGAGATTAAAGGGGATGGAGGGTAATACAGGGTGAAATAAAGATAGGAGAACAGCCCAGGCATATGGGCCAATATGAGTAAAGAGTAAAGGACAAAGGCACAAACAACAGGTAGTTTATCTGGAAATCTACAATGGCTTATTCAGGATGACTATGTACAGTAAAGTATGAGAAGAGAGGTGATGGGAGCTCAGGCTGGAGAGGCAGGCATACATTTACTGAGCACCTACTATATGCAATGTACAATGCAGGAATACAAAAAAGAGCTTAAAGGACATGAAATTTAAAACTCTTAATGAGAGTCAAGCATCCCAACAAAACAAAGACTGATATTACACAAATGGGGCCAAACAATCAAGTTCTAATCCCTTATTTCTAATTTGTATCTCACCTTTAAAAAAGTTAACTCTATTCAGGCTAAGATTCAACTTCTGAATATAATAACACTTCTTTCTATATCAAGCAAATGTGTATTACTTATTTAAACGTTAAAAAATATTTGGGGCCTCCTGGAAGAAAAGTACTAGATGAAATCTCTTATTCAACAATACTGCAATTCAACACACATTTAGCACTGGCTCTGTACCAGATCCCACTGAGCAATTAGGACACAAAGATAAATGAGACAGTCTAGTGAAGTCAGGTGCATGAGCTTGCTTTAATGATATGTTCCATAGAACTCTATCATGCCTTTCTCTGTGCCCCTCCTATAATGGTATACTGCCTTCAATTCAGGATCTTCAAAATTGGATGACATTCATTTATTAGTGTGCTTGTATTCTCACTGGATTGGATTAAGCAAATCTTTAAGGGTGTGCAGAGTACGTCTCGTGAAATGAAAGAAAACATTCAATATGATGAGAGCCTTGAGGGTGGGCAAAATATCACAAGCAAATTCTAACAACAGCATAACCCAGGAATAACCCGTTGCCATCGAGTCAATTCCTGCTCAAAGTGACCCTACAGAACAGAGTAGAACTGCCCCATAGGGTTTCCAAGGAGCGGTGATGGATTCAAACTGTGGACCTTTTGGTTAGCAACCGTAGCTCGCTGTAGCTTTTAACCACTGCACCACCAGGACACCACTCCAAGAATAAACCAAAAACCAAACCCACTGAAGTTGAGTCGATTCCAACTCATAGCGACCCTACAGAACAGTGTAGAACTGCCCTATAGTTTCTCCAAAGAGCACCTGGTGGATTCAAATTGCCAACCTTTTGCTTAGTAGCCATAGTTCTTAACCACTATGCCACCAGGGTTTCCAAACCCAGGAATAGAGGGATGAAATTACGCGGCATGCTAAGGACATACGGAGTAGTTTAATGGAAATTAAGGCACAGGAATAATGGACAGAATGGTATGAAACCTTGAGCTCCGGTGAGGCTGAGGACTGCTCCATTTATTTCACTATCATATCCCTGGTACCCAGCACAGCGCTAAGTATACATAACACACTCAACAAATGTTTATCTATTGAATGGATTAATGAATAAACAAATAACTATAAAGAAAGGCCAGGAACAGTTCTGTTTAGAATATCATACTGAATTTTGGCTTTGATTCCAGAGAATAATGGAAAATAATCTCAGGTTTTTAGCTAAGGAGTATCATAATCAGATATATACTTTTAGAAGGATAATTCTGGTGGGAATGTGAATAAAAAATAAAGAAAGGAGAGACTGGTAGCAAAGAAACATAGTTTTTTTTACAGTAAGCCAGACAAGCAATGATGAAAATCTGAATCATGGCAAAGACAGTGGAAAAGGTTAGCAGGCAACAGATTCAAAAGGCAATCATACACTGCTAAGGAAAGGCCACTAAACCTGGCAAGTGGTCACTGATCTGTGTTAGTCCTATTAATCTTGTACAGAAGGTCCAAAAAAAGCATAACAACGTGTTTACAAGAGGTCAGAGATGGCACAAATAATGATACAGCGGAGAACAAAAAAATAAATAAATAAAAGGTATAGTTCTGCACTGTATTATCATCTGATCTTCAAAAAAAAAAAAAAAATACATATGCCTACTTGAAGTTAAAATTAAATAAAATTTAAAATTCAGTCTCTCAGTCACAGTGGTCACAATTCAAGGGTCCAGTGGCCACATGTGGCTATTGGAGAGCATAGATTTATAGAACATTTCTATCATTGCAGAAAGTTCTATTAGACACTGCTGCTATAGACAAACAGAATTCATCCAAGAGACAGAATATTTCTTGGTGCATCTGAATTAGTCTTTATTTCACTTTTCTCTAGACAGAGACTAGAAAGCAGGAACTTGGTTCCATCGCCTACTAAAGTACATTATGCATCTTCAGCAGTAGGATTGATAAGAGTAGTACTCACTTGTACATGGCTTCTACTCCTGCTTTGGCAGAAGAACTTGGTACTAAAAAACCTGTTCCAGTCTCAGCATAGATGGTTGTAATAGCAAGAAATGCTGCTCCTGAAATTTTAAAAGGGTAGACAGTTGATTAACAATACAGCTGTATCAATACTAAACAGGAAAACATGGCTCATGAGAATGGGATCTGATTCATGAAAGTATATCATAAACTTAAGCATTTTTGAAAACCTGACTAGTCCTAAATTAAATTTGGTCAAAACTATAACCTATAGATCCATGAAGTTAAACAAATCCCAAGCAGGATAAACACAAAGAAAACCACAGTAAGGCATATCATAATCAAATTGTTCAAAACCAGTGATAAAGAGAAAATCTTAATAGCAATGACAGGAAAAAATAATATACATAGGGAAAACAAAATGAAAAGAAAATCCAATAACTTCTCGTCAGAAACAATATAAGCTAGAAGACAATGTAACGACACCATTAAAGTGCTGAAAGAGAAAACTTGTCAACTCTGAATTCTGCACTCAGTGAACATAGCCTTCAAAAATGAAAGTGATATTTTCCTGACAAAAGCTGAGAGAATTTGTTGCCAGTAGACTTCCTTTATAAGAAATGATAAAGGACATGATGAATGTAATCAATGTACTGAATTGCACATGTAAAAACGTTTCATTAGCAAATGTCTTGTTATATATATTTTTATGACAATTAATTAAAAAAAAAAAAAAGAAATGTTAAAGGAAGTTCTCCAGGCTAAAGACCTTCAGATGGAATGAAGGATGTCAGAAAGAGTAAATATATAGATAAATATAAAATATGTTTTCTTATTTTGTAAATGTCTTTTAAAAATAACTGACTTTATACAGCTAGACTAAAAAGTGACATTGTACATACAGTGATCTACAGTGCCTGGCACATAGTAGGTTCTTAATAAATTGAATAAATGAAAGCATAAAAGGGTAACTTTTGGCTCCTGAGAAATCAGTGATTTTCTACTTTTTATTTATCCACACTAGATGAGACAATATTTACAAATGGATCAAAATATATTTATATAGTTTACAAACTACTGCATACTTCAAGAAATTTAAATGTGAAGAACTAAAAGGAAAATAATTTAGAGAATATTCAAATAAGTTTTTCTCTTCACATATTTAATTTCTCTTTCCCTCCGCATTTTCCAGAGTAGAAACAAAACTCAGCACATCTTGCACCACATGGGGGCGGGAGAAGGGGGCAGGAGTACCATTTTGAGGATATAAGAAATAAGAACGGTTATGTTAGTCATTCGTGTAACTCCCTTTTTATATCAAAATCAGCCTTTCAAATCTCTGATTACTTAGCTTTCAAAATCTTACTCTGTAAAAGAAGAGAGATGTAGAAAATCAGTGTATCCGTTATAGTACACTGGCAGCAGATGTTAACTGCATCATTCTTACAGCAAAATTATAAAAACTACTTTAAAAAGCGGTGATTACTTATACTAAGCAAATGTCCCAATAGTAAGTATGCTATCTTCCCATTAAGATTTAACAGCAATGTTTTCTGTGTTGTAGGAGAGGAGTTAAGCCATTATTATACAGTGCAGATACTGAAAATGGAAGTTACTGTCATCTTCTCTTTCTCCCTTTAGGTCTTATTTTCTCAGCCTAGAAGATCTGGGTAGCCCACTGCTTAGAATAAGATACTGCTGCATTTAGTTCTCTGAGTGTACAATGGAGGTGAAAATTTGAAACTGAACTGTTTCAACAGGATGAATGCTGCACAGCAAAACAATTAGCAATTGGACTTCAAAACACGAAAACCCAGTGGTGCTAAAAACTCAAAGTTCAGAATTCCCAGAAACCCAGGGTTAGTCACAGATATATTTTTCTTTCTGTAGGAAGGACAATTATTTCAATTAGAATAACTGCCCATGGAAGAGGTATGAAAATGGCAAGTTTCTAATAGCCCAGTGCAGACAACAGATATGAAGCTATGTCATTTAGTAAGGTCAACACCATGGATAAAATAAGCAATAAATGAAATAAATATTATGCTAGCCATCCTTCGTTCTTTCAAAATGGAAAAAAACAGTAACAAAGAAACACTGTCTATTAAAAAAGACAAACTGTGTGCAAGATTATGTTCCAATTTCAAAAGAAGACCAGAAAGCTTTAAAATCTATTTTCAGTTTAAAAAAACTGTTGCTGTCAAGTTGATTCCGACTCATGATGATCCTATAGGACAAAGTAGAATGGCCCCGTAAGACTTCCAAGACTCTAAGCTTTATGGAAGCAAACTGCCACATCCTTCTCCCACGGAGCAGCTGGTAGGTTCAAACAGCAGACCTACTGGTTAGCAGCCGAGCACTTAACCACTGTGCCACCAGAGCTCCTTCTTTTCAATATAAATTATGAAAATTAAAATAATCAATACAATATAAGTTCTAACGACCAACAGAGGTGGAGTAGTATAATATAAAGACAAACCCATTGCTGTCAATTCTGACTCACAGAGACCCCATAGGACAGAGCAAACTTCCCCAATAGGGTTTCCAAGGAGCAGCTGGTGGATCTGAACTGCCAGCCTTTTGGTTAGCAGCCAAGCTCTTAACCACTGCACCATCAGGGCTCCCAACATAAAGACACCTGGGTTCAAATACCGATTCTACTCTTTACTAGTATAGCTGTGTGACCTTGAGCAAGTCACTTTCCTACTCTGTTGTTGTTAGGTGCCATCGAGTCAGTTCTGACTCATAGCAACCCTATGTATAAAAGAACAAAACACTGCTCAGTCCTGTGCCATCCTCATAATAGTAGCTATGTTTGAGCTCATTTCCTACTCTAGGCCCTAGATTTACCATCTGTAAAATGAGCCAATAGGGACCATCCAGCAAATGCCATTAGATTCTAAGGACTACTTGTTAATTAATTGTTGCCGTTCCTTGTACCATTACTCTTCTCCCCTCATGCAAAAAAGCCTCATTCAGAAACTGATAATATCCAGCTTTTTAACCACCATCTGTGACTTTAATCAATGCTATCCTTCACTTCCAGCTACTCTGCCACTTCCCAGCTACTCTTTCCACTTTTTCTGCTATATTTTGGCTCCTGGTTCCCAACCTACAAGTATATCTATATCCACATCTCAAACCCAGCTTCTGCCACCATCCTGTCATTTCAACAGCCATATGGACAACATCATTACTCTTACAGCTCCATGACCTCCCCATCCCCAAAGACCTTCACTGCTACCCCCAATTTAGCCATCGTCATCATTCCAAAATACTGAATATAGTGCCTCATTCTTCGGACTCTCTCCTTCCAGTTCTCTCACACCCTCATACAACACATGCTCTTTGGAACCTCATTATAAATTTGGGTGCTATCATGGTTTGAATTATGTCCCCCAAAAACTGTATGTATCAATTTGGCTGGGCCATGATTCCCAGAATTGTGTGGTTGGCCTCCATTGTGTGATTGTAATTTTATGTCAAAGAGGATTAGGGTGGGATTATTTAACACCACCCTTACCTAGGTCACATCCCTGATCCAATGTAAAGGGAGTTTCCCTAGGGTGTGGCCTGCACAACCTTTAATCTTACAAGAGATAAAAGCGAAGGGAAGCAAGCAGAGAATTGGGGAACCTCATACCACCAAGAAAGCAGTGGCAGGAGCAGAGGGCATCCTTTGGACCTGAGGTTCCTGTGCTGAGATGCTCCCAGATCAAGGGAAGACTGATGCATCACGAGGATCTTCCAGACCAAGGGAAGATTGATGACACTGACCTTCCGCCAGAGCTGAGAGAGAAAGCCTTTCCCTGGAGTTGATGCCCTGAATTTGGACTTCTGACCTACCAGACTGTGAGAGAATAGATTTCTTTTTGTTAAAGCCATCCACTTGTGATATTTCTGTTGTAGCAGCACTAGATGACTAAGACAGGTACTTTATCTCTCATTTAGGCTTTTTAACTCTCTCCTAGTCTCACTTGCCTATTGACAGCCTAGATTACTACATAAATTAATCAGTCAAGTCTCAACCACCACATTCTCTCAACACATCCACCCTACAACCCCTCACTGCCACAACTGCCTTCCCTCCTCTTACAAAGAGGGAATTTAATGTTGCTACAAATTGTAAATAAAGGTCATTGGAAAGATATGTCTATAAATGTCATGTGGGCTCTCCACATCACTCATCAACTCTTTCCAGTCAGCCCAGCCACCTGTGTTTCTGATTCACAGCTCCTCACACTAGAACGCTGCTTTCACTGGTTCTGTCTTCTTTCTCCTTCTTCAACTCCTTTCTTCACTGGGCCCTCCCCTAAGTAGTCATTAATCACGCTCCAGTCTCTACTCTGAATATGCCTCTTCTTAAGATCATTCAGTTCAATAACAGTCAATCTCCAACAGGTAAAGTTCAACATCCTTTAGCTTCACCTCCTGCTTCTCCAGGCATTATGTGACACAGAAGCAAGATTGAATTTCTCGCAATTTCTGAACACACAACTGAGTTGTTTAGAGCTTTAACTACTCCACTCTTACCATACTGCCAACAATCAACCTTATTGACAAAATGGTAAGAAGAGAAAATGCTGCACTTCTCTGTCTTTTTGGGTGAGGGCACAAAGGACCCTTGTCTCTCAGCCATGTTTCAGTATGATCCCCGATTAAATGTATATCTGAAATCATCAACGCTCTAAAAGTTATCCAAAAGAATACTAAGGTCAGCGGAAAAAAAAAAAAAAAACAGACTTAACGGTCTGACAGAGACTGGAGAAACCACAAGAGTATGGCCCCCAGATACCCTTTTAGCTCAGCAATGAAGTCACTCCTGAGGTTTACCCTTCAGCCAAAGATTAGACGGCCCATAAAACAAAACGAGACTAAAGGGGCACACCAGCCCAGGGTAAGGACTAGCAGGCAGGAGGTGACAGGAAAGCTGGCAATAGCTAGTAATAGAGAACCTGAGGTCGAGAAGGCGAGAGTGTTGACATGTTGTGGGACTGCCAACCAACGTCACAGAACAATATGTGTACTAACTGTTTGATGCGAAGCTAGTTTGTTCTGTAAACCTTCATCTAAAGTACAATAAAAAAAATTAAATAAAGAG